CTTCTCCAAGATGGACCATGGGGTTTATTTTGTCAATGAGCCTTGTATTTCAGCAGCCTTCATTCCAAAAAGGCATCTTGACTATTTAGCTCTTTAAATAATGGTTGATAGCTAATAACTTGCAACTTGCTATCCGTATTCGCATTTTACAAAGTCCCTCTTATGTTTTTGAAGCTTAAGCTTAGTGAAAGATTTGTATTTACTGATCATCTGAAATCAAACAATGTATCAGGATTTTCTGCCTGGGATCAGAGAATGAAAAGCTAATTCGATAGGGCACTACCTGAAAAATCTCAACATATTTGTACAAGTGTTAGACCTTCCTTGAAGATTTTTCTCAATTTGTTACCCTATGATGTAATAGTACATGCCAATTGTTCTGTTTTCAAGCTGTTTAACATCTGAGAACAAGAATTCATTGTGAGGACCCCAAAAAGCCTCTCTATATTAATACTTTTACTCTTAGCTTAATTGTAAATCAATTTTTGTCACTTTAAAAATAATGTCACAGTATATCTGAAATGATATTTTCAAGAGTTTGTTATTTGGAGACATGCTATTTTTTGGTAATTATGTAAATTAATAAAGACAATCTTACTTAGAAGCAATTCATATGATAAGTGAAGAATTAAACCAAAGAGCATATTTAGACTCCTGTCTCATTTTTACAAGCTGTGCCTTATCCTATTATGAGACTGAAACACATTTAGGCTTTCATTGTGAAATGCTGTATTTGTAGCAGGTAAGATTGTTATTAAAATTAAGCATTAAAGGACATTTTCTTTGCTCTTTACACAGCTTGAGAGTATAATGTGTTCCTCCAATTGGTACCATATTGTTTCAGAAATGCTTATCAACGTGAAGTGTCATTCAATCTCATGGCGTCCTCTGTTTCCATTCCCTCAATTGTAAACCAAACAAGAAAACAGATGCGTGATTGTAGTTCTTTTAAGTATCAACTTTCAAGAAGACAGGCCTTTTCACCAAACTCCAAATAATCCTGCTCGTTATTTTAAATTACTATACTTACTCCACTTAGCTGCTTCCAAGGTGCAGACGAAGTAGGAGTCAAAACTGTGCCAGGAAAATTCATCTTCAGCACCATCAGCCCATTTTTTGCCTTTTAATGGCTTTCCCCTGCCATTCCCTCTCATGGGGCTCAGCATGATCTCTGAGTGCAATGTCATGAGTAATTCAGTGCCACCCTTCCAGCCATAGTCCTTGCTACCGCCCCCAAACCACCTTCATTCTCCAGGTGAGCCTGGATTCCAATAGAAGGTGCGAGAAGACATTGATTGCATTATGTGATTCCAGTGTGAGGGACTGTTAGTATAGCTAATGGTGCTTGCCATCCTGCTGGGCATCAAATCTGCCATCACAGAAACAGCAGGTGGGGAACCTGACTACCAGCCAGAGAGAAGCGCCAAAAGGGGAGTACATTCTCTGCATCCCAACATCCTGGCACATGGATCCTCATTGATCCAGAAGTCCCAGTCCATCTTGACAGCGGAGGCACAGCAACAGCAGAGCTGGAAGAGCGGGTTACTTCCCAGCCCATGGAGCACAGCACGTGGAGTCCCTTGGAGGAGCAGGCCAGCTTGTGAAGTGGGCTGTGTCTGGGCCATTAATTTGGGGGATTTGGTTTTGCTGACCTAGGGCGCTGGAGCTGGGTACTTCAGTGTAAGGCTTAAAGGTAGGTGACACACCCTTAGAGTGTTTATTCGCAGCGCTAAAAGAGCTTTGTAATAGTGCCCAAACAGGGCAGCAGTCAGGCCAAGAGGCTAAGGGCCAGAGAGAGGCCAGCTTTCCCAAAGGTGTGGCAGAGCAGAGACGATTCTATCCTAATTCTTCACCTGGATTGTAGCTTGTTAACTTCCTTAATCAACCCCATAACCATAAGGGTCATCGGTGAGTTCTAGTTGGCCATTGACCCCAGCCACCAGAAGGAGAGGGATCCGTGGGAGGACAGTTGGTGTCAGGGCTAGGAAGGATGACTGAACAGTGGAGCATGTTTGACTTCTGCCTTGTGCCAATCAACTTCGGGAATTTCCACACCATTTCCTCACCTATTTTTTCTCCCCCAACTATTAAGCCAGCACCTAAGAAAAAAGCTGAGGCTCATGTAGATAGAAGCTGGTGTGAGTCCACATTTGTGCTTCCAGGGGCATTGTGTTTACTATTGAGAGAATCAGAAATTCAAATCTGAAAGCATCATAGCAGCCTGAATATGCTATTTTGCTTGAATAATTTCAAAGACGGAAAATTCATTCTTCTCACATCAGCCAGCAAAAGTTATGCAAGAGTTTTGATGTTTTAGACTACCTTTTCTTTGGTGAGTTAAAATCCGCCTCTCTACCTTTTAATCATTGACCTTAATTTTCCCTTTGGGGTAATACAGAACAAACCTATCTACTTTTTATACTTGACAGCTTTTCAGATATCTAAAGAGAGGAACCATGTCTTTTCTATGCCTTCTTTTGGTCAACCTAATCACTTCCAGTTCTTTCATTTGTTCCTCATTTGACATGGTTTCCAGGTTCTGCCAAGCATTTCCTTTCCACTGCCCATTTTGATCATCATCGGTAAGTGTATTCTAATACCCCAAGGCTCTAAAATATGGTATCTAAGACTGAGCATACTGCTTCAAGGTTCTCTGACCACCATATGGATGGTACGTGTTCCTATAATGTGGTATATGCATTTTCTCTAATGCAGTCTTCTGGACACCCGTCTTTTTTTTTCAGTGAATATTTTTGAGATCTACAGTGTGTCAGACTTGGAGAAAAAAACGTGACTGAGATCCAGTCTTTGTCTATTTGGGACCCATAATAGAGACATAGTCATGTCAACAAATGTTTGCAATGTGGAGTGAGCACACAATGGTAAGCCGGGGCTTTAAAGCACAGGTGTGCAGAAGTAACAGTGATTAAGTCTGTCTGGACTTGCATGGTAAACAGTACTGAGCAGAGTCTTGATCCATTTTTTAAACGTTAGAATATCTGTTTTCTGTAGCTGTTGAATGAAGAATTTTTCCCATTATTGAAAGAATTTCAGTCCTACCCCATCAGTGACACTGAAGTTTCCAGTCCATCCTCTATGGTGTGAGACCAGCACTGTCTAGGCACCTGGACTGCCAAAGGCAGCAGATAGTTGCTTCCTAGGATCACTTCACTATTCAAAATATCTAGAGCTTGTATTTGAAATGATCTTTTGGGTTGAAACCAGTAATCTACAAGTGGTACCCATTGGTGTTAGTCCCTAAACGGCAAAAGCCATTCCCTTAAGAAGTACATGCACAGGCGGCACTAAGAATGTTGACGCCAAATGTCCTGAAGTTTTACCTGGTGGCTCTTAATAGTGGCTATTAAGAATGCTTTGACCTTTTTTCTCTAAAGTTGAAAGCAGAGCTAGACAACAATTTGGGTGTTATCCCTTCACAACTAGCTTAAAATTGGGTAGTTTAGCCCACCCAATGGCATGCCGGGAGAAAGAGCTGGTGATTTGCTTTCCAAAGATTACAGCTGATACAACCCCACGGAGCTGCTGTTCTACTCTGTAGCGCAGGGCTTGGAGGAGTCCCCATTGCAATGATTTATTTTTGATCCTGGCTATCCTCCAGTACGGGACCTTCACAGAAAGCAGGATTCTATACACAACATGTGGCTCCTACAGATTTTCCATTATTTTATTCTTCCCCTTGAATTTCTAGCCCCTAACATGGGGGTCCATTGTGCTCTCTGCCTCCATCGTAACTGTTCCTTGTTAATGGTAGAATAAGTGTATGAAAGAGAGAACAGATAGAGATGAGCATAAGGTGGGGAGGTAGAGAGAGGGCTTAAGGTTTTCTTGAAGGTAAAAACTATGTCTAAGGCAGAGTTTTAAGGGGATTGTAAGGCAGCTACTTCCCAAAGGAGAAGGAACAACTCCGCCTCCTCTCTGAGGCTCCAGGAGAGAAAGCAGCTCTCGGCTGGTGTCTCAGGTGTTGCTCACCTGCCATTTGCATGCACTACTGCTGATAGAAACCACCCCAGTGGTGCACTGTGATAAGCACGTGGCTGTGAGCTGACCTGTTGGCAGTTTGAATCCACCATCTATTCATAGGGTAAAAGATAGGGCAGTCTGCATCCACAAAGATCGACAGCCTAGGAACTCTTGGCATGATGCTCTTCTGTCCTTATAAGGTTGCTGTGAGTATAATCAAAGACAGTGGAGTTTTTTCCCCATCTATTTTATTACCATTGAGAGCTAGGAGGACCACATGGATCAAGAGCAAGAAAAACACTCAAGAAAATGCTTTATTTATGGTGCCATTTACTCCTGCAATCTTGGACATATATCCCAACTCTTTACAGGAAAAGATCTAACTTCATCATCTTTGTTAATCTCAAAAAATGGGGTTTTTATAACATTAGCTATGGCAATGACTCGGTGCCAAGTTCTCTTTAGAAGATGCCTTAAATAGGGCAATCCTTTGTGGTTAAAAAATATTGTAATGCACATAATCTTACTATGAACTAAGTAAGGGTGAATGTGCTCTCTCTTTTCCAGGAGAGGAGACAGAGGCTGAGAGAGGATCACAGTACAGCCATATCAGTAAGTTATGAAATGCGTAGTCTCGGCGAGTTTTGAATTTCTCCACCAGGGCTTGCTCCACCAAATGGCTCCGGCTGTTGCAATGGAGATAACTGCGCACCAGGCCCTAGTGCATGGCTCACTGCAAGTGATTCTTACAATGGCCCAGTAAGAGGCAGGCTTTAGGAGGCATATTGTTTTATTTACCAACCAATTTGCAGGCTAAACTGGAAAGAGAAACATGCTTAATTGAAAGTCAAGGAAACTTTTATATTCATGATATGTTATTCTGCTTTCAAATCTCCAAGGCTCTTTTATGCTATCATTTATGCTGCACCTCTAGGGAGACTTTCATTGCTGAGGTAACTACGGCTATTATTTTGATTAGAAGAAAAAGATGTTAATAAGGATTGAAACTGTAGCCCCTGGACATGACACCTGGCTGAGTATTAACGGGAAAAAATGTAAAATCACATTGTTAATCTTTTCCCCACCCTCCTTCCAGTTTTTAAACAGATATAGACAGACATTTATTTAATAAACTATAACTAGCCATTTGCTGAATTTATATGAAGTGCAAATAATTTTCTAAAATGTAGGAAATTTTAGCCATACCTTCTTTGCTAATAGAGAGCTATGCAGCTGTCTTAAAGAAGTCCTCCCAGCAGAGCCCTAGATCCTGTTTTACCAGGAGCCGTGCCATTAACCAGGTGAGCCTGCCGAGGGATAGAGACGATGGTCTGCGGATAGTTACAGGCGGGCTCTGGACACTGGGGTTGGGGCTGAAGAGCTCAGAGAATGGAAACCATACCAGATGGGAAGAAGTGCCCTGAGGAGAAGGGAAGTGCTCAGGCATCAAGTTGAGCATAGCAGACAATTTAGATAAAATTGGGATTTAAGATCCGATAGAGCATTTGCTGAGAGGGAGGGTTAAAATGGGTGGAACATGTGGAACTTTTTTGCTTTCCTCAATTTTCTTGCCCTAGTGAGGAATCTTCTAGGACACCTTTTAATTGTCATCCCCCCCCCCTCTTTTTCCCTTTTTTCTAGTTCATTTTCTATTACTTTTCCCTCTTCTCTAGGCTTTTCTCTCTTCTCTTCTATCTTTATGAATTATGATGTTGGGAAAAGAATATTGAAAATACTCTTTTGGTGGACTCTACCAGAAGAACAAACAAACTCGTCATGGAAGAAGTACAACTAGCATGCTTCTTAGAAGCAACGATGGCAAACTTTGTCTTATACACTTTGGCCTTATTAACATGTGTGATTGTGTTTTTTTGTCAACTTGACTGGGTCAGAGTTCTCAGTAGATTGGCAAGTGAGGCCTCACCCATGATGTGACCTAACTGTATATTCAACTCCTTGGTGGCATCTGCTGTGGACAGCAAGCCTTTGTAAGAGGGTTACGGAGGAGTCTAGCTTCCTTTCTTAGGTCACTGCCCTGCTACAATAGAAAGGAAATCACCTCGAGGGTGTGGCCAACTCCTATGTACGTCGACTCTACGGGAAGGCTTGTCTATTCTTACTGGCATGAATCTTACATGTACGGCATCAACCTCTGGGCCTTTGGACTAGAGCCAATGGTCACCATATTGTCCTGAACCTGGGACCTATCAGTGGCCCAGTATATTGCTTGTCGACTTCAGAGTCACCCATCTCTTCTCCAGCCTGTGGTCTGCCTGCTTCCTGGTTCACCTGCCTCAGCAGATACATGAGTCAGGAAAGTCCTCAAGCTTAACATATGATCCACAGGCTTGAACTGAACTGGGCTTATCAGCTTCTACAATTGGGTGAGCCACTTGATATGGGTTTTTTTTCTTTATATACACACATCACTGGTTTTGCTTCTTTTGAGAACAGAGTCTAACACATCCTGAGAGAGCAGTCCCTGGAAGAGGGCATCTTGTCTGCTAAAGTGGAGGATCGGTGAAGAAGAGGAAGATTGTCAAGGAAACGAATAGATACAATGGTGACGGCTGAACAGTGGGGCCAAGCAATTGTGAAGATGGTGAAGAAGCAGCCAGTGGTGTGCCTAAGGTTGGAGTTGGAGCTGACTTGATGGCACTTAACAACAACACAAGCACCTTTATATACATATTATTTTATTTGGTTTATTGCCTCTGAGAGTATGTCCTTGGTTCTTAATTTAAGAACAAATGAAATTTTCATACATCCTCGTACTTTTTCTTTTGTCTTAAAACACAGGCAAAAAAGAAACAACCTAAACTTGAATTATTATTGGAAGGAAATACTTAAAAAAAGTTGATTAATTGAAGAGTCCAGGATTTTCTTTGTTTCCTTTCTTGATAATTACACAAGCCCTGAAATCAGTAGAATTATTTTGTATGGCCCTTAATTTTTTTCCTGTTTGTCTGTTGATTCTGATTAATTATAAAGTTATCCTATTCAAATGTATTTAATGACTTTACAGACATAATTGTACTACATTAGATTGTCTCATAAAAGGAATTTGATAATAGAGTTTCACAATCTTAAACCTCATGCATTGTCATCTAATTTCAATAACCATTTTTTTCTTTAGAATTATTCTTAACTTCATAGGAGTCATGCTGGTGTAGGGTTACTAGTTGTTCTGCTAACTACAAGGGCAGCAGTTCAAAACCACCAGCTCTTCTTCGGGAAAAAGATGGGACTTTCAGGCATGACGAGTAATAGTGCTGGAATTCACAGCAGCTCTTCTACCTGTCCCACAGGGCCACTGTGAGTCAGACTTAGCTTGATGGCAGTGAGTTTGCCTTTTGGCTTCTAATTTCATAAGGTCACAAAATGAGGCATTGTTATTAATGAAAAAGTGTGATCCTGGGCCTCATATCATGTTCGAAATAATAGAGGAGAGAGACATCAGCGATTGTGGTCTAGTATGACAGTTGTGGAGTCAGGAGGGAGGTGGAGTCATGGCACAGGTGCAGGAAGGCCCACATGGACTCCATGGGATGTTTGAGATCAGGGGACGTCCACAACTGAGAACCTGGGCAAGTGAGCCACGTGGTTTTCATTACTTTTCAAAGTTATTAAAACAAAACAAATAAATATACTTGACCTCTTGACTTCTCTACTTGCCAATAGGTTAACCAGCTACTTCTCAGTGGTTAAAGATGGCCCATCTGCCTCAGAGTAGAACATAAGGCTTTGGGTAGTTGGATTTTGAAGATAAATAGCCAGGCTTTTTCCTAAGGCGCCTCTGGGTGAACTCCACAAGCCGCAATTCTGGCTAAGCAGCCAAGCATGTCAACCATCGAGCCACCCAGAACTCGATGAGGAGTTACCCACCTTCAAAACCTACTGCCACTGAGGCAGTTGGGACACATGCTTAACCTTACAGCCAGAGTAGGAACTGTTCCCAGAGGTCTGGAGACTACAAATCGATGCAGAACCCGACAGTCTCATCTTTTCCAGCAAAGCAACTAATGGTTGTGAACCGTTTACTTTGCAGTTAACAGCTGAATGCTTAACCCATAGCACAACTAGGTACCCTTACTAAGATGCTAGAGGCCCAATAAGTTCTCTAAGACTTTGGGGGGGGTGGGGAAATGGAGGGTAGTATGGTTCATTGGCTCTTTCCTGGCATTTGTAAAAAAAAATATTAGTAACTAATATGGCAAATTACCCAGTTTCTCCAGGATATCATTTCTTTACCTATAAAATGGGTATAAAGAATCAGTGTCATGTAGGATTATTGGGAATGTTAAGTGATTTTTGCATGCTTAGCACAGTAAAAGAGTACGTTTTCCTATCATGACAGTTTCAAAGAAATGTCCACATGAAAGGGAATTTATCATATG